CTCCTTCATTGCACCAAGTTGTTCTTGAACGTAGCTTCCAGAAGTCTTCTTCCATTTTTAGAAGGGCATTATACTCTTGTTGGAGAGTAATTTCCAGATTCATTAGGAAAGAACTTGTTTGGTACTTTGGCAATTTTTAAATCCCATCTAGACGCGCCAGAAGTCATTTTTTTTCTTTTTAAAAATATCACCAAAGGTATTATTTTTCCAAGGAATAACTTTTTCTTCAAAAATCTTTTGAGCTTTAGGGAGGTCATTTGTTTACCAACTAGCCCGAACTATGTTAACAAAGTCGGGATGCCTACACCAAATAGATTCAAGCCTAAAGGGTTTTCCATTATGGTAAGTATTGTTTGGGAACAATTGAAGTAATAAGGGGTTGTGGTCGGAGTAGGTTTTTGGAAGGTGGAGAATAACAGCCTTAGGGAACAAACTCATCCATATATCATTTACAAAAATTCTATCTAAACGTTCCATAATTAACTGGTTAGATTTTCTAAGGTGGTTAGCCCACGTATATTTACAACCTTTAAAACCAAGGCCAAAGATTATTTCTATTTGCTACTTTAGTACTAGCATAAATTGATGAAAAAAGCCAAGGAATAATTAAAGGACGTACCTCAATATTAGCATGTATCTCTTGGTTCCTTCTCACAAAATCTTTCACTGTGCCCACATCTGATTTCCATAAAATAACCATTCCTCCGGACTGTCCCTCCGCTGGGACTTCGATCATTTGAGTGAAGGAAAAGTCATTAAGAAGAGAGATGTGGTTATCCATACGAGTCTCCAGTAAGGTGACAACACTAGGTTTGTGAGTATCCATCATTTCCCTAAAGTTTCTTCTAAAAGCATCGTTATTACCACCCTTTATGTTCCAAATGATGAAGTTTATTGGATGAGGCATCATATCAGGGTGACTAGGGTTGTGCATGTTACCATTATCCCTCATTCTCTGTGGAAGGGAAGTTGGATTCCTCCTGATCGAGGGAACCAGAATCATTGCATGGCTCCCAACAGTGGGATCCTGTGGAGGCCTGACATCCATCGAGAATTTGTAGAGTGTTGGGGGACAACTGAGAACGTATCTCTTCTCACGCATTTCCCTGAATAGATAAACTTTTACATCGTTTAGACTTGAAAACTCTAGGATTTGGTCTGACCCCAGCAAGTTCAACTCTTCTGCTTCCTCTATTGGATGATCTTCTGGTTCTGGTTGATTGGGAGATGGTTGCTGCTGTGGAGCATTGTTTTGATCTAGTGGAGCGTTTTGTTGAGGGTTGTTTGCATGTGGAGGATTTTGCATTTGGTTGGTCATCTGATTCGTTGCATCGATGTTTGGCGTTGATCAAGGCATGAATATTGGATTCATGTTCGAGATCTCCCTTGGTGGAAAGAATGGGAGATCTATTTGCATATTCTGTGTTTGGATTGGATTGTAGTGAGTTTATAGGCTCCATTGGTTTCTCATGGTTTGGGCTAGGTTGGAATTCATAGATGGATCTAGAGGGTGTAATATGTTGTTCAACCAGACATGGTTAAAGTAGTTGCTCATTGCCATATGCATCCCTTCCGATACCAGCTGGTCTAGGAAGTATGAATTTTGGAGAACTATCACAGTTTTCTGCCCGTCCAATATCATGTTGAATGATATTGCATGCCCCATTAACGCTTGTTCTATCCAAGAGAGGGGTTGATGATCTTGAGGTAGAGGTGGTTGAACAAAGAAGATATGGTTGTTCATTTGTGATGACTGGGGGAGTGGAGGATTAGACATTGCGTGGGCTCGTTGGTGCCTTAGGATTTGAACAAGACGATATCTTCTTCGTTGACATATGGGGATTCTGGGCATGTTTACTAGTTGAGTGATGATTTATATTAAGGGAGTTGGGGGAGTCTTCTGAAGGAGTAACTAGGTTTTCTAGTGTTCTAGGGGGTCACTACTTATTACCTCTATTTGCATGCTTTGAGGATTGCTTGAGCCGATGGTTATAATAGGATTTTGGTTAGATTTTGGCTCTGGTACGTGTTTAATTACTTCAGCCATTTGTGGGGCAGTGGAAAAGTCTTGGGATAGATGTTGTTGTTGTATTTCATTGTTCATGCAAGGGTTAATTAAGTTGGAGGGGGGGTTAAAGTGGCCAGAAGAGATTAGGGAGCCTTTGGGAATTGTTTTTAGCGTGTTAGTAGTAGTAATTAGGTTAGTTAGGGGGCTAGGAAGTGAAATATTGCCATGCATGGGATTTGGTTGGTCCTTAATAGTATTTGCTACATGGCAATTAGAGTTGGGAGATGGGACCACATCTAATATCATGCAATCTAGCTCAGGCGGATTAACCAAAGCTTGGAATTTGTTTCCAGACGTAGGGTAAAATGATGGGGTAGACTTTTGATAATGTAATTTTTAGACGAAATCTTATTGGAAGCATTATTAGGCAGTAGCTTATCAAAGGGTTTAATAGTTAATGAGGGGGAAGAGAGAGTACCTGACATACAGATGTTTTGCTCATTGAATATACCTGATATGTGTTTATGATTGGCCTTCTTTCTTGTTGGGAATCTCATCGTTTGCCACACTTCTTCCTTGGCGGGTTGAACTGCATCTTCATTTACACCTTGAACTTCTTTATGAATCTTGGATTGGTTGGCAGTAGAGTCCAAGTCAGTCGGAGAAGAGGCATTAACAACGATTTTATACTGACATTTGGACTGGGCATGCCCTAGTCTTCCGCATTTAGTACATAAAAAATTCCCATCTTCATAGTGTATAACTTGTTTGTGTCTTCCAATGAAGATAAAAGGTATTACTGGAACTTCCAAAGGCAATTCAACACATAATCTAGCATATCTTCCTCTAAGTGTTGAGGAAGTACATGCATCAATTTTTAAGAGCTTGCCAATTTTTTTTCCAATCTTCTTTAAGATTAATCCATCATAAAATTCAGTAGGTAATTGGGGGAGACGTATCCATACTGCAGTTTTTGATATTCTTGCTTCCGATACTAAAAAATATGGCTCCCATTTCTGGACCGATAGAAAATGACCAAATATGAACCAAGGTCCATTATGAAGGACTTTTTGCATATTTTCCTCATTATTGAATTTAGCGATGTAGTAGTCACACCCTAAATCATTCAAAGGAAAATTTTCCTTAGTTTTCCACAGTTCATGTAACTTCCTTTTAAGCAGGTGGTGTTGGATTCTCCTCCCTTGTAGCTTGATTATAGTCGAGAATTGCCATGGCAGATATATTCGCTGGATATCCTCTTGAGTTAACTGGCCTTGTTGGATGTTTGAAGAATAGTTGAGGTCTTCTTTCCCAATGTCTTGTGATTCACTTGAATAATGGACATTTGTATCAATAATCATATTAATTGAAGCATCTTGATCACCTTGTACTAACTTATCTTTAAAGCTAGGGATGGACAGTTTGTGTTCGTCAGGTGATTGATTGATATTAATATCTGGGGGTTTAGGAGGAGGAATTAGATGAACTTGATCCAGGTCCATTTGATTGTTAATGAGTTTATAGAGAGAGCAGGAATTTCTAGAGAGAGAAAAGCTCAAATAACACTTATCATTCATATAATTGCATTTATCAATTGTACAGAAATTGATACAAAAATTGGATCCCTTAAGCTCCGACCTTCGCCATCGATTCTTCTCAAGCTCGCTGGTGCCAAGAGCTTTGTTTTACGATTGTCACTGCCTTAAGTCCTACGCAATAAAAACAAAGGGTGTGTTGGGTTTCCGAGCATGGGAGTATAAGCGTAACCACTTTCATAATCCTTTATCTGCTTTATTTTTTCATCCACTGAGTAACGGCCGAGAATGAGTGGGCCCTAACACTAAAGATTTTCTTTTGATTTTTTTACCTATATATGTAAAATAATAAAATTAAATAAACTTCATTAATAACTCCATGGACAACTATTAAAAAGTTTCGAAACTTTGAATATAAAAATCGAATTTTGTCAAATTATTATTTGTTTGGATGGGTGTTGTTGGAAACGATGGGTGATATGTTGTGGAGCTTATATCTCAATTTGAGGGAGTTTGGTGGAGATTAAAGTTAGTTTTGGTTGGAATTTCAGATTGAAAGTCGAACAGAAAGAAGAACAATATTGTACAAATAAGTTGTATGCCAATTGTATAAAAATTATATGTATATTGTATGTACTAACTGGGGCTTTATTAAATTTTACATAACAGAGCCCGCATTCTCATCTAGGGTTTATTTTAGCTTTTTTTTCTCTAACCTCTGCTAACCGGCGTAATTCCGGTGACCTCCATCGGAGTCAGGGAAGTCCCTTCCTCTCTTCTCTAACATTTCCCTTGCTTTTCTTCCCCCCTCCTCCTTCCTCTCCTCCTCTTCTTTCTGCTTTCCCCATCCTAGATCGCCGGATCTGCCCCCCCCCCCCCGTTCCTCCCCTTCTCTTTAGCTCCCCCTTACTTCTGCCTCTTCTTTCTTCCTCATCCACTATCCCTCTTCTCTCTACCCTCGTCTTCTTTCTCCAGCTTTTGTGTTTTTTTCTTTCGTTTTTTCTCTGTCGTCGGGCATCTCCGCCGGGCAGCGGATTTCTTCTTGGGCGGCTACGCCTTCTTGGTCGTCTTCTGTCCTTTCCCGGTATGCTGCTTGTCGAATTTTTCAGCGTAGTAGCGGCGACAGAGGATTCTGCACATGGGCAATTTTCAGGCGAGCCTTGAGAGGCAAGTGAGGCCCAGACACGGGCAGCTGGAGGCGGGTGGTGCGTAGGTATTTTCGGACTGTAGCTGTTGTTAGTCAACACCATTTTGGCATCCGTAGATGTAAGGACCCGTGAAATTTTTTACTCAAAAACCCAAAATCTCATAGTGTCAAGTTAAAAATATGTGATTAGAAATTTATAAAATTCATCGCGACGAGCTTGCTCACTGCGGTTTGGACCTTTTGGATTGATCTATGCATTAAAAAGTTAAGGAAAAATATTTTTCAGAAGAGCGCGTTTCTGCGGCCCATTATGCGGTCGCATAATAGCAATGCGGGCTGCATAGCTGCTGCAGAGTGAGAAAGAATGTTGGCTAATTTTGAGGACAATTATGCGGCCAATTATGCGATCGTATAATAGATATGCGGGCCGCATAGTCATCGCATAACCTCCTTGGGATTTTTGCGCAGAACAGGTATGCGGACCGCATATTGGTCGCATACCCGGACAGAATATTCAAGTCTTGAGGCTACTTTTTTGGTCCCTTTTGCGGGCCGCATATCAGTTATGCGGTCGCATATGCGACCGCAGATTGAGTCGGGGCTCCTATTTTCTAACTTTTAAAACCCGATCCCATTCCATTAAAACACCCCATTAGACCTTTTTGTGCTATTTTCTACTACATTTAGAGTGAGAGAGAAAGTTCTAGAGGGAGGAAGTGATCCTCACCAATTCCCGATTCAACCCTTGCCCAATGAGTAATTAACAAGTGGATTCATGGGTATAAGGACTGATTATCTTGCATGCATGTATGATAAAAGGGTATGGGGAGATTGTGAGCTAAAAATGTAACAAATGGGGTGTAGGATGATAGAATCTCTCACAAAAAGGTCCTAAAATCACAATGCACACTTAGTGCTTGATAATGTGCCTAAATGAGCTACAATATTGATTATCCCTCTAATTTTTGGTTCAACTTGTAATTCTCATAAAATAGATCGAAGTTGCTAGGAGTTCCGGAATTATTGTAAGAATTTAAGGAAAGCTCTATTGAGGTGTGTATGGCTAAAACCTCCTCTTCTTAGAAATTGAGCTCCTTTGGTGTCCATGCAAATGTTGTAAGTCCGAAATCCGATTGATGTATTGCTTGTTATTTCAAATAAATTGGTGTTGCAAAAATATATGTGAAAGGTGTTTCTCAATGTGTTCGATATGCTATACTTGGTAATTTAAGGATGTGTGAAGAATGTGAACTATGTGCTAAACTGCCTAGATTTCAAGTCAAGTTTAAATTGAGATTGTTATGCCAAACTATGTGAAATCCTCTCTATGCTTACAACTTGAATTGCTCTTGTATGTGCATATATCTTAAATCGCAAGGTTAATGTTGAAAGTGGTATTAATTTGAAATATGGGGGAAACGAGTTTGAGTTATGAAATGTGGCCTGGTTCCAAGTATGATGTGATAATTGTGGCCCCAAGTGCCAATGAACTGATATATGTGAAAAAAAGATTGAAATGAGATGATTGATGAAAAAGGAAAAACGTCTTGGCGAGATGGCATAGCCGATCGGGCCGTGATCGGACGCCATGCCGCACACATGGTGGTATTGTGCTGATATTCAAATTGGAAAGTGGGAATGAAATTGTGACTGAGGTACATGTCTCAAATGAGGCAACCTAGCCGATCGGGTCATGATCGGACTCCGCGCAAGAAAGCGGTGATATTGTGAATAATGATGCAACAGTATGAAATGTCCCAACCTAAGGCTATGGAAATTATGTGAAAGCTATGTGATCCCTTTTATTTGATGATGTGGTGATTGTTTAAAGCTTTTGTTAGTCCTTATGATTTCTTTATGCTTGTATGGTTGTTCTTTCTAATGAGATGGTGTTTAGTTATACATACTAGTAATATTCCATGGTACTAACCTCCCTTTTGCCGGGGGCGCTACATCTTTGAATGGATGTAGGTGGTTTCATAGTAGACAGTGCCGATCGTAGGTAGCGGAGCATCCTCCTCTCAGCAATCTTGGTGAGCCCCTTTTCTTCCAGGGGTTATGCAGTATATCTTTTGTTATATATTACCACTTTTTGAGGTATAGCCGGGGCCTTGTTGCCGCCATTATCATGACTGTCTTTTGTATCTTAAGAGGCTCTGTAGACGTTTGTGTGGGTTATGTACGAGCGATGGATGGGTCACTGGACTATGTTGTAATTCTAAACGTTCTTCTAAACTGAAACTGTATGAAATTTAGGAAACTTAACTATGGTTTAAGGTTTGTAATATAAAATAAACTAGCAATGTTATGTGTACAATCTTTCCTGCTATCTAATTAAACGAAAGCATGGTTTCTTGATCATAGTGAGTTGGGTAGAGAGTGTCCAAAAAGGCTTGCTCAGTCGGGTTCACTCGATTGAGCTCCGGTTGCGCCTCCCGAGGTTGGGGGCGTGACAGTAGACATTCTAGGTTCTATCATTCCTACTTCGTATTTGTATCTTGCGTGTTTATAACTTTGTTGCCTGCCTTTTACCCTTGAGTAGTGCATTAGTTGCCTGCGTTTGTTGTGTGTTTACCTTTCTTGGCCATTAGCTGAGTCATTGTACCTCTTGTGTGATTAAGAAAATTATTTAGTCTATATTGAAGCTTTTCAACTTGTCTGCATTGCCAGTAGTTTTAATCTTAATTTGTAGTCCTTAGTTTCTTTGTTTGTGGGGTGGCTAGTCGGAACGATGGTAGAGTAGGGTCATGTCCTTGGGTGGGCTAGGGGGCGAGGGGCAAGGGTGGAAAGGGAAGTAAGGGATCTAGTAGGCTGAGAGTGGGGCCATAGAAGTAGGGCACTGACGGGTAAGCCTATAGAGCTAGGCAAGATTCTTCATAAGAGGGAGATTTAATATAGCATGTGTTCAGGAGACTAGATGAAAGGGTACGAGGCTACGGGATGTTAACGAGTTTAAGCTATGGTATTCAGGAGGAGCAGCGGGCAAGAACGGGGTAAGTATTTTAGTTGATAGGGATCTCAGGAAATTGGTGGTGGATGTTAGGAGGGTGAGTGATAGGCTAGTGGTTCGTGGGGTCACTTTTAACGTGATTAGCGCTTATGCGCCTCAGGTGGGCCTGGGCGAGGAGGTCAAAAGGTGCTTCTGGGATGATTTAGATGAGGTTGTGTATGGTATTCCACACTCCGAGCAGCTCGTCCTTGGGGGTGATTTTAATGGCCATACTGGGGTGACTTCTAAGGGTTATGATGAGGTGCATGGCGGGTTCTGTTTCGGAGTTAGAAATGAGGGCGGTACCTCTTTGTTGGATTTTGCTAAAGTGTTTGACCTGATGTTAGCTAATTCGTGTTTCCAGAAGAGGGAGGAACACTTGGTCAATTTCTGGAGTAAGGTTGCAAGGACTTGGATTGATTACCTTCTCCTTAGGAGGGGTGATAGGAGCATGTGTACTGATTGCAAGGTTATCCCGAGTGAGTGTCTGTCGACACAACATAGACTCCTGGTAATGGACTTGTAGGTCAAGAGAATAAGGAAGAAGAGAGCGGTGTACGGTCAGTCAAAAATTAAGTGAAAAATCTTGACTAAGGTAAAGGCGCATGAGTTGAGGGAAAAGTTGTTGGCCATGGGGGCCTGGAGGAGTAGTGGGGACGCGAGTAGTATGTGGATCACAACATCAAACTGCATTAGGGAAGCTGCTAGAGAGGTGTTAGGCGTATCCAAGGGTTATTCGGGAGGCCACAAAGCAGAATGGTGGTGGAATGAGGAGGTCCAAGGAAAAGTGGAAGCTAAGAAAGCGACATATCTGAAGCTAGTAGGGAGCACATATAAGGAGGAGCAGAGGACGTGTAGGGAGCGTTATAAGATGGCAAGTAAAGAGGCAAAATTTGCAGTCACGGCGGCTAAGACTGCAACTTTTGAGAGATTGTATGAGGATCTTGGGAGCAAAGGAGGAGACAAGAAACTGTACAAGTTAGCCAAGATTAGGGAGAGGAAGGCTTGGGACCTGGATCAAGTGCGGTGCATCAAAGACGAAAATGGTAGGGTTCTGGTGGAAGAGGTGGGTATTAAGCGTAGATGGCAGGAGTACTTTCATAGACTCCTGAACGAGGAAGGGGACAGGAACATCGTACTAGGAGAGTTGGAAAACCCAGGGATCCATAGGGATTTTGGGTTTTGTAGGCATATTAGGAGCGAGGGGGCAATGCGGAAGATAAGCAGGGGTAAGGCAACTGGGCCTCACGAGATCCCAGTAGAATTTTGGAAGGAAGTGGGGCGGGCAGGCTTGGAACGCCTTACTGGGTTGTTTAATGCCATTTTCAGGGGAAAAAAGATGCCCGGGGAGTGGCGGTAGAGTTTGATAATCCCGTTGTACAAGAATAAAGGTGATGTTCAGGACTGCAACAACTATAGGGGTATCAAGCTGCTGAATCATACTATGAAAATTTGGGAGAGGAGGGTGCGACGTAGTGTTACTATTTTAGAGAACCAGTTCGGGTTTATCCCGGAAGGTCTACTACTGAAGCCATTCACCTTGTGAGGAGATCGGTGGAGCAGTATAGGGAAAGGAAGAATAACTTGCATATGGTATTCATAGACCTGGAGAAGGCCTATGATAAAGTCTCGAGATAGGTCCTTTGGAGATGTATGGAGGCTAGCGGTGTCTCAGTGGCGTATATTAGGGTGATTAAGGACATATACGAGGGATGGAAGACTCGGGTGAGGACTACGGGAAGAGACTCGGATCATTTTTCTGTGGAGATGGGATTGCATCAGAAATCAGTTCTTAGCCCGTTTTTGTTTGCCTTAGCGCTAGAGGTGTTGATGTGACACATACAAGGGGAGGTGCCATGGTGTATGCTATTCGCTGACGGCATAGTACTGATTCATGAGACGCGTGATGGAGTTAATGCTAGGTTGAAAGTTTGGAGAGAGATGCTGGAGTCTAAAGGTTTTAAGTTGAGTAGGTGGATAACTGAGTACTTGGAGTGCAAGTTCAGTGATGGGATGCATGAAGAAGGAGTGGAAGTGAAGATTGGTACTCAAGTCGTCCCCAAAATAGATAGTTTCAAGTATCTTGAGTCGATTATTTAAGGCGGCGGGGAGATTGACGAGGATGTTACCCATCGTATTGGATCGGGGTGGATGAGGTGCAGGCTCGCCTCGGGGGTGTTGTGTGATAATAGTGTGCCACCTGGACTTAAGGGCAAGCTCTACAGACTGGTGGTTAGACCGGCTATGTTGTATGAGGCTGAGTGCTGGCCCGTCAATAAGTCCCAAGTCAAGAAGATGAAAGTAGCTGAGATGAGGATGTTGAGATGGATATGGGGTCATACCAGGAAGGACAGGATCAGGAATGAAGTTATTAGGGACAAGGTATGAATGACATCTGTGGAGGACAAGTTGCGGGAGTCGAGGTTGAGATAGTTCGGGCATGTGAAGAAGAGAGACATAGATGCTCCGGTCAGAAGGTGTGAGAGGTCGTCCACTGCGGGTCTGAGGAAGGGTAGGGGCAGGCCTAAGAAGTATTGGGGAGAGGTAGTTAGGCAGGACGTGTTATTGCTCCAGCTTACCGAGGATATGACCCACGATAGAAAGACGTGGAGGTCGAGGATTAGGGTTGTAGGTTGACAGTTGGTAGTGTGTTCCTCCTAGGCTTACCAGTAGTACTAGGACTATTTTTGTGTTATCTTATTCATGATTCTTTACTATTACATGGTATGTCATTCGTGCCCGTTACCTTAATATATTGTTGTTACTATTGTTTGCTACTTGTTGCCTTATCTCCACTGTTCCTTAAGCCGAGGGTCTATCGGAAACAGCCTCTCTATCTTTATAAGGTAGGGGTAAGGTCTACGTACACACTACCCTCCCTATACCCCATTTATAGGAATATACTGGGTTCCTTGTTGTTGTATTGTATGTACTGACTGTATTTGTATACAATAAGAATTTTATATGCATGTTGTATGTAAGTTGTATGTTTTGACCTGATTTTATATACAAGTTACATATTTTGACCAAAGTTGTATATATTTTATAAAAAACTCTCGCTGCATTTTAAAAATCCAAAAACCAAGCTAAAGCGGGTAAATATTATTCTATTTTTGTACCTATAGGGAAAAAATCCCCTTAATATATAATATTAGTTCGTTATTAACCAAAAATAAAAGTTTTCATAGCGCATCCATAGAGTTTCATATGAATATTCTATGATAAATTAGTAAAATAATTAAATTTATATACCCTTACAAATAAAGAACTTTTACACTATCATGTGTTGAAGCTAACAATATTATAGCAAATAATATCTTATTTTTTAAGTTACTACTCTTACTATTTATGAATGATTTCCTATAATTATTTTATAGATAGATAGCTTGATAATATAAAAATTCTGTTATACTATCTCCTTTTAATAGTTAAGCTAATAGCAAAAAGGCATTCTGGGAAAATTTCCTTCTTTCCATTTTATCCAATATATATAACGCAGCAAATCTGGAAAAGCCTAACAAGATAAGGAAATATTGGACTTCTTATTCCCAATAGAAAGTTATAGTACTAGTCAAACCAAAAAATTGATCGTAGCGTTTAATGATACAAAAGGAGTGGCTATCTAATTGCTTTTGACGAGAAGTACAATTAAGTAATTAAAATAATATGAAATGTGCTCTCTCCTACAACATAACATCTTAGACGAAAGGATCACACACTAAGAATGAGTACTATAACTAAGCTAACATAGCATAGAAAATCACCCAGACAATCTCCTCACCCCACACTTAAAATTGTGCAATGTCCTCAATGCACACTAAAAATAACAAGAGGGTAAAAGAGACTCCCTGGTAGGCCAAAGGCCGAAGCATTAGCAGTTCACGGGATACTCAGACTTCTCCCAGGTACGATCCTTTGTGCGGTCACCCCACACTTATTTCAACCACATAGCTCACTTTTGCACACTTCCAGTGGCTTTTCTTCTATGCTCATAATCCTACAAAAAATGCTACAAAGATAGAAAAATAAAATAAACAAAAATAAATAAAAATAAAAGAAAGCAGTAAAGCTGGGTTGCCTCCCAAAAAGCGCCTAATTTAAAGTCGCGGCACGACTTGAACTAATTTTTGTCTCCACCTTGAACTTATGAATTGTACGCCTAACATGGCATCCAGTCTGTGGCTATGCACCTTTGGTGGGGCTACAAAGATAACCGGGCCAAGTAATAAATTTTTCACTCTGCACCTCTCGGCCTTTAGATGAGGAATGTAATTTTTGCTTTTTGGCACAACAAATTCAAGAATATAGGCGCTCTTATCCTCACTCTTTGACCCCTTCATTGGCTCAGATGGCTCGATTACTATCTTACTATCTAAACACAATGTGGAAAAATAATTGGAATGAGGTCTAATGCGCTCTAACTCATGAATTTTACTACTATTTGCATCCCCATATTTACACACACTCAAGTCTCCCAAAGTAATGTTATCTACTCCCTCATATGACTTTAGAGCACTCTTCTCAATATTGGCATCCTCAAGAAAAACATGGTCTAGTGATTGGTATTCTCGTTTTAGCTCCTCAATTTGGTCTAGAAGATTTTTTTCAGTTTCACACAACTCATTATTAATTTGTTGAGCGTTACACGCATCAACCTTTGTGCTCAAATCTGCATCTAAGTTATGTACAGCCAAGCAAAAATTATCAATCTTATGTGCAAGTTCATTGCTCTCCTTAGACCAATCATTCACCAACATCGTCAGAAGACAACGTCGTTCCGCATATTCGCCTAATCGAGAATATACGTCCCAATACCAACCCTTACTCCCATATTCAAATTCAGACCTCCCAGATGTCATGTTGAGAGAACTAGAAACACACTAGGAGAAAAGTCAAATAGTTATAAAATTAAAATATTTACAAAAAGAGAAGAAAAAAAACTTGTAAAAATAAAAGTAAAAGTCTAATTTAGAAAAATAGTTAATTTCTAAGTCCCCGGCAACGGCGCCAAAAACTTGTTGCTCCCAAGCGCGCACGCAAGTATACGCGGTCGTCAAGTAATAAAGTGACTAAAAGTCGGATGTCGATCCCACGAGGACTTGTGATTAACCATTAACTAAATTAGACTCTCTTGATTATCTAAACAAGAATTAAACCTAGAAGTAATTGATTCTAAACTAATTAAATAAAGAATATAAATAATGAACTTTAAACAGAGGAAGAGCAGATTTTTATGATATCAATGTAATGAAAACGATCTAGGGTTATGGGCTATCTAACATTCCTATTGTATTCTTCAATTGAATTGACTAACTAATTTATCGAGTTTATTGGTTGACAGGGTTAATATTGCTCATAAGAATCTGTCGAGTTTTTACTCGCCTATTCAAGCTAACCTAACGCCTATATGTCTATGGAGTTAGAATCAACAAGAACTCATTTATAATTCCTGTATTTCAACCAGGCAAGGCAATTAGGTATATGTCTATCCTAATTGCGAATCCGTTCCCCGATGCCAGGTTCAAGAACTTGCTCTACTCAATCCTATATGCAATCTAGAATTCTCACTTTCGAGTTCAACTCTAGATTCGTAGATAGTATTCAATTGGTGATCAAGCAATCAAATAATTAAGTGCAGGATTAAATAAATAAACCAACATGATAAACTAAGAAATCAAAATCAATATCCGAATAACAATAGTCATGAAAGAACCACAACCCTAGAACGTGAATCTTAGCTCCACATAGACATGGTAGCAAAATAACAAATCATACAAAGAAACATAAAAATTACTAAGTTGGTGGAAGAAAAGATGAAACCCGGCCTCCACGGCGGCTCTGTGCTTGTGTTTTCCTCTCAAAAACGTCCTCCTCTCTCAAATACCGTTTTTCCATGTATATATACCAAGTAGGGTTGGTCCCAAACAATTATACCTTCTCCAATGTGAAAAAGGACATTATTCCCGGGTTTGACTAGCGCGATTGCGCTAGTGGTCGCGCTAGTGGCCCAGTGTTCTACCTGACGAGCGCGACCTGAGCGCGATCGCGCTATTGACGCGCATTTTTCACCCTGTTCCATTTTGAACATGGAAAAACTTAAAACATTAAAGTTGTAGCCCTTTGAGTTATCTTTCCAACCATATATTGTGGAGCCCAAATGGAGTTCTGAGCAAAAAGTTATATCTATTTTACTAGACGGTGCGCAATATGCCTACTGGAGTCTTCGTTCGCTCTAACTATCATCCGTTGACCCCCAAATACGATCCCTGCTTAATTCCTTGAACTTTTACTCAAACTTTAAAGCTCCAAATCACTCGAATTTATTTCATAACATCTACATACCTCGGAATCACTCCTACA